ACGGTTGTCGAACTTACACATACACATCAAGTGGCTTAACCGTCGTGCTACTTTTGTGTAAACAGTCAATCTTCTCAGTGTTAAGGGTCATCAGTGAGCACACCCAGCGCTCTTTTATCACTTCCCTGTTTTCAAGCGCCCGGTCACGCCTTAGTTCACCAGGGGCGCTTCTGTTGTATGACTTTCCAAAGGGGCATTTCTCATTGTACTTCAAATGGATGAAACCTTATCTGATGGAAAACAAAGGTTTCTGTTTAAAACCTTGCTTCAGTACTTTTTGTCGGTGGCCTGTCTGTCGTCACGGTTCCCAGCTAAATCAAAATTCATTATTGCTGCTCAGGTAGACCCTAGGTGATAATATATAAGTATCCGCAACTTCCAACTGCTCGGGTATCCCGAAGCCAGGATCACAAATGGTCCCTTGTTTCAGGTCTCCATATCTTACTGTGGAGCCTGTCAGATATTTCGGAAAGGCCGATTTACGCTCTTCGGTAATCTGTACCATTAGAAGCACATGTCTTTATTGCTTACTGCCACCCATCTGTCCGCTTCAAACGGGTTGGCTCTAACTGCAGTCTATTCAGTCCGCCCTAGTTTCTAAAATTTGTTCTTCGTGCGTCTGTACCGCTTACTACCATGACCCTTATTATCACACATTTCCATAGGAAAATAATTGCGAGAGTGCTCGAGATGCGTACTGACTGTAAATTTAGCCTCCATCCGTATATCTGAGGTCGTTTTGTTCCCAGTGCAAAACTAGTCTTGCCATCAGCATGCTTACTTTGAATGACTTTGACTCAGTGTGATGTTATATTTTGATCCAAAACAGCTTGGAAGTCTTATTGCGTGCTGACGCTGTTGAACTTGCACAGCCAGGAGATCGTTGCGAATTTATCGGAACTCTTATTGTTGTCCCGGATGTTGGCCAGTTAGCAACCCCTGGTAAGTGGCGCAATTTCTTCTAAAGATTCGCATATGTTAGAACATTTGCCCCGTTTCTTTTGTTTCCTTTTTCGACAACTCAACTCACTTCTATGCCGACAGGCTTATCGATTACCATTGTTCTTTTTTAGGTACAAGGGAGCTTGAGCGCAAAGGGACACGAACGGTTGACGGTCAAGAGTCTGGAATTTCAGGCTTGAAGGCCCTGGGAGTTCGTGAACTGACTTACAGGATGGCTTTCTTTGCATGCACAGTGATCCCCGCAAACGGTCGTGTAAGTATTCCATTGTCTATCAACTATACAAGAAAATATTCGATATTTTTAAACGTGTAGTACATAATTTTACAAAGTACGACTAACCTGCTTTCTATTTGCTGGCAGTATTTCTAGCCAAACAATGTAGAGGTTTAGCTTCACCCGAGTTGCGCTTTCTCATTTTGTATATGCTTTGCAGAAAATCGGACTCTCAGGGTACCTGCTCTTCACCTGTATTGTGTTATTATAACCATAATTAGGTCGCAGCTGAAGTAAAATTGACCTAAATTTGCACCTACACTCAGAATTTGTGGGAGTTTCTATCAGTGAACGAAATTTCAAATATTAGCTTTTTTAATAATGGTGTGTGGCTCGTTAGTTTCGGATGCAGGCGTGTATAGTACTGTTTTTGTTGTGGGATCTACAAACAGAACCCTTATTCCCGAAGCCTTAGTTGCCAGCCTTATTGAGTGTTAATTGTAGTTCTTGTAGCTCAAAAACCATCTTCTATTTAATTTTCCCCGTAAGCCGTACAACTTAGCACAACACAGACCTAAATTGGATGCTTTGCTTTGCTCTGCTTTTTTATCTTTTGAATAATCCCACTTATCTATTCAGTACCTTCCCTCGGATGATCTCGAAACAGCCGATGGCATTTCGTACGAGGCCATGTCTCGCCGTCTCAGTCCTGCTGAATTGGACAAAATTTGCCAAATGAGTCAGGACAAACATCTCTTTAACAATTTGTGTGGTTCTCTATTCCCTACTATCCATGGTAGCGAGGAAGTCAAGAAAGGGATACTTCTAATGCTTTTTGGAGGTGTTCCGAAGGTATTCTATCCTGACTTGTACTAATTGCTCTTACCGCTGCATCTTCGGTGTCATGGTCCATCCCTTATTATTAGACAATCGTAATTTTTTCCAGATTCGACGAAAGAAAAATATCCGGCGTCTGTTGACCAATAACTATAGTTAAGTGCCTGTCATGCGTTGTGATAAAGCGGGAAAGTGCATTCCATTTAGCAGATAGTTTAAGTTTTAAGTTTTTGATTTAATGGAACGAAATTGAAATTTCAAGGATAAGGCTTACATCATAAAACTGTAATTGTTTACATTTTCAAACGTGTTACGTGCTGGCCTCTGACACATGTATTTGCTCATGTTATATTTTAACTAGGAGAGCCAATAATCAACAGTATTCCCAGTATAAAAGTTATTTGATTTCAGAAGGCCACTTAATTAGCCGGAGCATTCCGTTAGTTGAGTGAAAAATGACACAGAATCAAAAAATACTTACTTCTTGTCTTTAGTTTATAGCAGATATGTGCGCACCAGTGAAAGCATTTGGTCAGTTTCTTTGTCTGGCAAAAGAAAATTTGTTAAATATTACAAGAAAACTATCGGGCTTTTATCAGAATTCTTGCGGTAATAACTTAGTTGTACAGTAGTCGCCACAGGCCATGCAATTTTCATAACTTTGTATAAGAT